ATGTGATATATATATATGCATATCTATCTATCTATCTATATATGGAATTTTATACCTCCATTAGAAAGCATGACACCACCCTATTTGTTAGGAAATGGAAAGACATGGAAAAAATCATATTAAGTGAAGTAAGCCAGGCCCAAAGCAATATAGGTCCCATGATTTCCCTTATTTGCAATAACTAGTATATGTCTAGGACAAGCAGAAAAGGTCAAAAGCTATGTACATATGGACCACATAGGATGATGCTAAGCGAAATTAACCCTGATAGGTACACAAGAAGTTTAATCTTTCTTGCTGTTGTTTTTAATGTACTATCTGTTTTTTTTTGCTTGTTGGTTTCTTTTGTTTGTTCTTCCACCTATGGTATAACCCCTGTTTTTACTGTATTTGATTCTGGTGCCATGCATCTTGTATATACATTTTTCTAATTTGGGGAGGGGAAGGGAAATAACAAAACGTTGAAATAAGGATACAGGTTGACCCATTGTAACAATGAGATATACAAGACACTAAGTTGAAAACGAACCTTACAGCTTTGGGTGGGGAGGGAAAAGTTGAGGAGGTGGGGATGGAAGGCTTGTAGAGGAAAAAAAAAGAGAGGGTAACAATACTCAATAGGAAATGTACTCATTACCTTACTCATGTAACTTTAACCCCTTTTTATAGTATCTTTATGACTATATATGTATATATAATATATACACATATATAATCCAATGTATACCCTACAAAATTAAGAAGAGTGAGGAAGGGGGAGGTAGGAGAAGGAAGGGTGATAATGTTGAAATGAGTGATAGACCATATTCATAAACTGTTTTGTTAAATGGCAACTCTTTATTACAACTTCCTAAAGATAATGAAAAAGCTAAGTGGAAAAAAGAATATTTTTATAGTTTTTTTTGTAGTTCTCTAGCTTCTTGTTGATTTCCACTATACCATATACATAAAATTAATTTTAACACAAAAAAGAATCTTATTTCTATTGATGTTTTGTTGTACTAAAGTTAATAAACAGCCTTTTATTTAAAATTTTGGAATATGATGTTTTGAGCCCACTGAGAGAGATATACTTTACTTAATGACTGTATAAGTAATAGAGGCATTTATAACTTGTAGCTCTTTCAAGCATTAGGGCAGGGCATAATAACATACCTAGTGACTACAAGAAACCAGGCTACTTCCTGGGTAAATTCTATAGCCCAAATATTGCTCTGTTAAAATGGTAACCTTGGTGACATTAATGCCCTGCTAAACTACAAATCCAAAGGCCTTTGCTTGTTCCTCCTTTTACATCACATTTTTCTATCTGTCAGTAGTTTCTAGCCATCCTTTAGCATGCTTCTATCCTAAGTAAAACCTTCAACACCTTTGGAGAGCTCATGTAGAGCTTGATCTGTATGCTCTTAGAAGACTCTCTAATCTGCTTTTGTTTTATTCTTCAAGTTAGATTTGCTGAACGTCCTACCTTCATTGTCTTAAATGTAGTGAGTTTAAACTATCTTAATAATTAAAGTCATCTTTCTCTTCTCAATCCAGCTTTCTCTCATCATTCTTTAAATCATTCAGAGTCAAATTATTTATACTTTACCCTTTCCAGTGCCTAACCAATTACCACACTCACTAATACTTTCTTTGCAAGTTTCTTATAACTGTCCCTCCATTGACTGATATAGCAGTAGTTCTACGTCTGATGACCTCATGCCTTAACTGTCTTGACTCATTTTCATCCCTAGACAATAAAGCATCCTAAAACCAGTTAAATCTGCTTCTCTTTTGATATAAATTCTCAAGCTCCTCAGAGAGTGAAATAATCTTCCCTGAACCTGATTCTATGCTTGAGAAGATTTCCTTATGTGCACCTCACAAGATCAAAAGATTTTGTTCAACTTCATTTCCTGAAGTTAATAAAAAAGTATTAACAAAGAGCTGGTCAAAATTGTTCTACTTGGCATTATATCCACAGAATAAATTAACATTTGTTGTCCTGTAATTCACTTGATAATCATTTCTGTTTCTACATTTTCACAAACCTGTGTATTCAAGCCTTTTGGTTTATTTTAATAATCACTAACCATACTATTATTTTCATGCCTCCACAAAATTTTAGGAATGGAGTTCTACATGTAATTCAAAACAGAGCTCTTCCTATGAATTTTTCTGAGCACCTACAAAGAGTTGTAGTAGCACAATATTTACATTAAATCCCTTTTCATATGGCATTGGTTTCATAATTAACAGCGAAATATACTTGGTTTTTACATTATATTGTAGCAGTTATTTCTTATCTTTGTAAATTTGTTTTTTATTTTTCCAATTAGACATTTTACAAACATAAGGGCAAGGACCCTGTTTTTAAGTCATAGCCTTTTTCATAGTATTCAGTAAGATATTTTAAACATAAGGGAGATACAATTTTGGTATCTTATTTGTATTCTTTAATAAGCCTGTGAAACTACAAGATGATTTTATAAGGAAGCTGATCATATAACTCAGAAAACAGAGCCAATTTTATATAAAATTAGAAATTCTACAACAAAACTCTAATAATACAAAAATTCCATTAGTTAATAAATATCTGGATTTTGTTTCTTTCTTGCCACTGTTGACTATTCTATGCTTTACATTTTCATGACTAATCTAATATACAAGATAAACCAGGGAAAATAGAGTTTAAAAGAAGCTACTAACCAGGTACTACTTGCTGATATAATCCTACCTTCTGAGGAAGCTGAGAATTTAAGAACATGGTTCAAAAACAGCGTTGGGCAGGAAAGTCTGTGAGACTCTTATCTCCGATTAACAAGCAAAAAGCCAGAAGTGGAGCTGTCTGTGGTTCCCGTTGTAGAGAGGTATCCTTGAGCAAAAAAGCTCAGGGCTAGCACCCAGGCCCTGAGTTCAAACTCTAGGACCAGAGCACACCCATGTGTGTGTGTACACACATACACACAGCTCAAAATATTACTTTTATATACTTTTGTTTAAATTGGGGTGGGATTATTTTGTAAAATGCCAGTGAGTTAAGAGTCATTTAAAAAGTCTTAATTGTTAGGGGCTTTTCCTTGTAACCATATAATTTATTGAAACATGTGCTTCTTTACTAACTAAATGGTGTATTTTTAAAGCTGTTCTGACTTTCTTGGTGTCAGTCACTCTCTTGCTTTTGTTCAAAGGGAGTAGGTGGAGTGGAAAAGGGTAGAATGCAATTCCCAGATGTATTCAAAGGTATACTTTTCTTTTGAAAATGCATAATTTAGATTTATTAATATTCATAACCTTATTCAATGCCATCTGCGTTTTTGGACTCATTAGTTGTTTTGTTTCTTGGCAATATACAACTAAAATATACAAATATTTTAAAAGACATTAAGAGATAGATATTAAAAGTTTACAATGCATGAAAGAAGTTCAATGATTTAACTATCTAATGTTGTTTGACAAATTGGTGAATATTTATATTTTTTAATTTAACAACTTTATAGTTTACATCTTAAAAATATCAATAGATAATATTTTTAGTTGAAAATAGCAAAACTTAAAAATCTTTTTTTCTTTTAGTCACAGAGCTTGAATTCAGGGCCTGGGCACTATCAATGAGTCTTTTGCTCAAGGCTCAAGGCTAGTGCTCTCTCTTACTTTGAGCTACGATGCCACTTTTGGTTTTCTAGTGGTTAATTGGAGATAAAAGTCTCACATGAACTTTCCTGCCTGGGCTAGTGTTGAACTGTGATCCTCAGATTTCAGACTTTTAAGTAGCTAGGATTACAGAAGTGAGGCACCAGTGCCTGGCTTAAAAACAGTATATTAGAGCTGTGTGTGGTGGATTGAGCCTGTACTCCTGTCTTAGAACATAGGAGTGAAAGATCATGAAAGAGTTTTAAGTGCAGTGAGGACTACAAAACAATCCAGCCTGAGACTTGCAGGTGGGCACTTGTGGAACAGAAAAGGTCAGCAAGATTAAAGCTTACATATTTCATAAGGTAGCTGGCTGTCTGGATGCCTGGGATAGAAAATTGTAAAACCTCATCAATTCTTTTTTTGGGGTCCGGTCGTGGGGCCTGAACTCTGGGCCTGGACACTGTCCCTCAGCTCTTCAGCTCAAGGCTAGCACTCTACCACTTGAGCCACAGCGCCACTTCCGGCTTTTTTCTTTTTGCTTATGTGGTGCTGAGGAATCGAACCCAGGGCCTCAGGCATGCAAGGCAAGCGCTCTACCACTAAGCCACCTTCCCAGCCCAACCTCATCAATTTTTAAATAAATTTCTATTAACCACTTTGAAAAAACCCCACAGTATATTGGAAACTAACTTTACAACTTCGGGGGTGAGAGGTGGGGAAAGGGTCGGGGGGAAAAGGGGGTTTTATTCATTCCATCTCTCCCAGTTATCTTACTGGATACCTATAATCTGTGAATCTGCAAATCTTTGCTATGATGCCATAATGGAAAACTTCATCTCTGACATAATACTCTGACATAACATCTCTGAAAATTCTGGTACACTAAAAATGTCATATAAAATTATCTTCACAGTGTATGTGATATATATATATATATATATATATATATATACACACACACACACATATATACACACACATAATAATACATATATATGGTTTATATAAATTAAATTTTGTGTTTAGACATGAGCATGCTTATAACCAAGATACCTCATTATTTATATACAAATATTCTAAAAACTGATTCAGCATTTTCAAATAAGGGATCCTTATTCTGTATATGAGAAATCATAATAATTACTACTCTCTATATTGTACGCTGTATAAACACCACAAAAGTTTTGGATGTTATTCTTGGATAAAGGTTTAAGTTCAACCCATTTTAAAATGTGTCATAAATTCCTATTGTATTAGTGGACTGACTTAACAGAATAGACATCTTTTAAATTTCTAATAGTTCTGAAAACACTAGATATAGTTCTCAAACAACATGGCAAAAGCAGAAGAGGGAAGGGGTTTGAAAGACAAAATAATCTTACCAAAGTCTGCAAAAGCTGACTGTCCAACTAACATCAAATTTTTAGGTGTCTCAACAGTATTACAATGAGAGAAGTTTCCATCCTGTTGAAATCAAAAGAACTTTGAATTAAAACTCGTAACACACTCATTTGTCAAGTGTAAAAAGCATTTTAACAGAAGCAGAGAAATAAACAATTTAAGTCTTTTATTTTACTAACATCACTCCGGTCTCTTACTGACTTTTTAAAAATTATGAAACAAAAGTAACCAGTGAGTTTTGTAGAAAATACGAATTTAGAGTGCCAGTTCTAGGACTTGGGAGTCGTCATTGAGCTTTTCTGCTCAAGGCTAGTACTTTACTACTTGAGCCACAGCTTCACTTCCAGCTCTTCCAGCTTTTTTGGTACTTAATTGGAGATAATGGGCTTTCTTATGGGCTTTCCTGCTTAGCCTGGCTTCAAACCATGATCCTTAGATCTCAGCCTCCTGAGCAGCTAGGAATACAGGCATGAGCCATCAGTAACTGGCTAATTTAGAGTGCTTTGCTTTCTGTCAATTCTTGTATAAGACCTTTTCCCAGATCATCGTCATAATTTCAGACATAATTATCATATTCTCATGTCAAGTACTATAGAAAGTCTTGAAAATATAAAGAATTATACTTAGTAGTTTTAGATACTAAATAAGAAAAATAAAAGACTGAACTCAGAACTTTGATGTAAGAAATTGCTATTGACTTTGATGCCTATATGCCTTATAAGGTATCCATGTACTTTAAAGGTTCCTCTTTGTTCCTCCTCTAAGGATACTACAAATTTTCAAGTCATTCCTTAAGGAAATTACTCTTGATGTTCTCAGAGAAAGGCACTGCTACAATGAAAGCACAAAAACTGTGCCTGGAAACCAGAAGAGAGTGAGTGAGATTGGTCTTGTGATAGGCAATTTTCTAACCATTTTACACTTCATTATCCACAGACAGAAATGTTTGTCCTACTATTATTAAACTAGCTGGTGTGCTTTTCAAATACTTTTTCTATATATATCTTATTTGTACAAATGTATTAAACTTTAGACTTCATTCTTCCCCACTATTTACCAGAAGATGAAATTGCACTGGATGTGTGTTAAACTTGCCACTTCTGACTATAGTGTTAAAAGTGCTATTTTGTTTTAAAAGATTATTGTATACTGAGTAGATATGATTTTTTGAAAAACTTGAAATAACTCTTTGAATAGAACACATTAGTTTTATCATGTGATTATAAGGCTGGTAATATGACAAAAGTGCATGAATCAACCCAATGAAAGTGTGAACTTTGGTTAGCATGTCTAGAAAAATCTCAATATATGTAACATCATGATTTATCTCCATCCAGAAACAATGATACTTTCCAGCTAACAGTCTCCCACATGTTAAAAGCCACATTCCCTAGAATGTTTACAACTATGAAAAGGTTTGAACTATTTTGGGGAAGTATGAAGCTTAGAAGGGGAGAGAGTTACACATGGAGTAAGACTGAGTGGAACATATTATAAATGTGTAGAAATATAATAATGAAAACCCCTTGTTTATAACTAAGGTAAGCTAATAAAATATAACAAAATAAGCATCACATTTGCAGTGAGTATCAATAGAAGAGACTATATTCTTGGCAAAGTGGCTATGTGTGGAACTCATTATATAGAGGCCATAGCTGGGGAAAAGATGTTTCATTTAAACAATTTTTCTATTACCATTACTTGTTACAAACTACATAAGTTAAGTTCCATCCAGGTTAATGTTATTTATATATTTTTTATTTGATGACAACGATCTAATAACATTTTTCATCAATGTCTTTCCTCTTATTATATACCATTTTTTCCCAGTCCTGGGGCTTGAACTCAGGGCTTTTCTGGTTGGGCTGGCTTTGAACTGCATTTCTCAGAATTCAGTCTCCTTAGAAGTCAGAATAACAGGAGTGATCCCAAGCACCTGTCTTCTTTTATCTTTGCAATTTCTGCTATAGGTCACAAGTTACCACTGTGTTATTAATGGTCATCCTTTCTCATAGCTACCCCTTTTCTGTTCCCAGCATACTATTCTTTAAATCATGCATCTCTTTCCAATATAACTGTGCATTCCACCTCCATTATCTTATTGCCTGTAATTTTCCACACAAATATATCTGATGTGGAACAGCAAGGTTAACTGCAATAATGAAACTTCTATTCATCTCACTCTCTCAGTTCTAAATCAAGAACAGCTTCTCAACAGTTTTAGAAAATCAAATTAGTTAGCTTAGAAGTCAAAGGCCTTTCATTATTTTGTCCAAACAAATTTTTCCAATCTTAACTTCCAAGGTCCCTTTCTTGTTCTGGCCCAAACCAGCGATCTTCTCTTTGAAAATATCTTGTGTTATTTGTAGAATTCTTCTATTGTAATGGTACTGGGTTTGAATTTAGGGTCTCAAACTGCTAAGTCTACTGCTAAGTCATACATTCAGTCCATTCTGTGTATTTCTTGCCTGCCTTGTTCTCTACCTTTCTCATTTTCTAACACTAAAATCTGACTTATTTGTACTATTCATACAAATAGCACATCTTTTTTTGAAGCCTTCACTGATACATCTAGGTAGATCAGGGAGAAGCAAATGGTCTTTGACTCCTTGATTATACCAGTGAATTATGTATACACATATCTCAGACTGCCTCCTGTCCTACCCTTCTACATCTTCCAGACACTATTATAGAACAGAACATGTAAATGATTTCTTATAGCCCCTACACTTCAAACATAGTTTTATAACATAGTTTTATAAGTTTTCAATTTTTTTCTGGTCAACTACTATGATACTATAAAGTGTATGACAAATCTTTCTTCGAATATAGTCATCTACTTTACAAATACTATATTTTATATGAATTCATTAATTAAAAAAAAGTGATAGAAAGGTTTAAACTCAGGGCCTGACATTGAGTAGGTAGGTGTGCTACCACTTGGTCCACATACCCAGCCCTTTTTCCTTTAATTCTTTTTCAGATTGGGCCTTCTTGTTTTGGATCAGAGTAAGCATCAGTCAGTGATCTTCCTGTATAGCTGGGGCCATAGGTATATACTACCATACCTGGCTTATTGACTGAGACAGGGTCTTGCTAACTTTTTTCCCCAGGCTAGCTTAAATCTCGCCTCTAGATCTTCACATCCTGAGTAGCTGGGATTGATTAAAGGCATGAGCCCCTACTTTCAGACCTCCAACTAGCTAATTTTGAATCTATATTCTCCATAATATACATTACTAATTTACTTCTTTTGAATCTGGGTATTGACTCTTTGGTCAAACTTTTGTTGAACTCCTTTCAGACCCATTCAGTCCAAACATGGGCTTCCATATCCATCCTCATAGAGTTTGATTTTAGGAAGAATGCTACTAAGTCAGTTAGAATCCTCTACAGATTATATAATCATGCTGGTCTGCCTTCAACTAGAAGGCAGAGCTCAGGAATTATGTTACTTTCTTAATAATTTCTGATCTACTGACCCTCCATGCTCCTTGGCTATACATAGTGTCATTTTTTATTTTGTATGTATAGTTAAGCCCAATTACTTTCATGTTGCAAGGTTCTATTAGAAGTAGTTCTTTGAAATAAAATCTGCCCTATCATCCTTAACAAGTTCCTGAGTAATTTTTCTTTAATTCATTGATCCTGCCTCTTTAATATGAAACAACTTTTAGTCCTTATTATCCAATAGCCAATTTGTTAATTTTCTTTAAAGAAAACAGCATCAAAGATAAAAAGATCCTAATAAAATCTACATGAAGATTGTTTTTCCTATTGAGTTACTTTACTTGATCACCTTTAAAGCCAAAGATAGAGGATGCCACTTACTTAAAAGTGTCCATAATTTTATATACACCTTCTACTTGCTTTATTGAGGCTCTTTCCCACTATGTACAAATTAATTAGATATATTTTGCACAAGATTCAGATGAGGTACGAATGAAAGCTAACTGAAAAAATGTATCCCTTAACAGTGAAATTTGCAATATATAACAATCATAAAAAATATGACATTAGAAACAATTATACTTTTAAGTGCTGTTGGTTTCAATGACTTTCTTTTCTTCTTTTAAACATTGCCATTCCTAAAAATAATAAAGTGGTGTAGCTTACAAGCACTTTCATGCTCTGGTATCTAAATAGGGCTGCTCAGTTCTCCAGTTTCAGTGTGTGCGTCCCATCTAACACCATTGTCTGTTAAGACAATGGCCAACAATGATTTGCCTCCCAAGTCTTAGAATTTTACATTAGTTAGAACTCATTGTTTTTATTAGCATTTTCATGAAACCTGTAAGAGGCTAAATGAGTTTTATTTGGATTGAGTAATAGATAATTGGGAGTAATTAGGTATGAAATCAAGAGATTTAGAACTTAAATTTGGTGTCTACTATATTCCAGGTACTTTAGACATTTGGTTTCATTTCATCTTTACCAATGTTCTAGAAAGCAGACTCTTATATCCATTCTCCATATGTGGAAAGTGAGGTTTCATACTTGAGTAACATGAGGCAAGTGTTCTGAGTAGGCCCATTTTATTGCCCTCTAGTCTTATCAAATATTATGCATCCTGAAAATTTCGAATGAGTTAACCTTATTATTTTTCATAGAATATACCACGTTAAAGATAACAAATCATGAAAGTAATTGTTTGATTAACAATTACAAAAAGAAAACCCATTGGGAACGACTTCTTAATCCTAGTCACTTGTAATTTAGTGTCTGTTGTTTCTATTATTCTTTTCATAAGCTGAAGGCAGGGAATAAAAATTAGCTTTTTAAAAAGTGTTTTCTTAACAAAGGAGGAGGTAACAATAGGAAACAATAGGAAATGTACTCATTACCTTACTCATGTAACTGGAACTCCTCTGTATAATATTTTCACAATGAAAAATATATACAAAAAAAAGAAAATTACAACCTCAAAAAAAGGTGTTTTCTTCATAAAGCATTGTAGTTACAAATTAAATGACAGTAACCTTTCTCAACAGCTAAGAGCCTAGTCAATATGCATATTAACACAGGCTAGGTCAGCACCCATGCCTGGAAACTGGCAGAGGAATGGCTGTTAGCTGAATGGTTCCTCAGCATTGTTCAGCAGTTTGAATACAACAACACAACCAAAAGCTCTTAAAGAGTCTCTATTTATTATGGAAACCAATGGACCCAAATGATTATTTTAATTGCATTTTCTAAATTGTATACCTTTACTAACAGCCATCTTTTAAAAATGTTCCAAAGAAAAGACTTCTTACCAAATTTTCACATATCTCAAACTGGAAAGTATTAGAGTCAGACAATGTTGTGAGGAATAAATCTAGAAGGAAAAGAATGGAAATGTAAATTTTTGTAGTTATATTGACGTATATATCTTTAAAAGAATGGAGAATTGCAATGCCTGAAATAATTATTAATAGAATTCTACCTAAATATATTTTGAATTATATTTTAACAAGTTTGATTATATATACGTATTTATATATTTATTTACTGGTCAGTCAGGAAACTTGAATTCAGGTACTCCTGAACTTTTCTGCTCAAGACTAGTGCTCTACTACTTTGAGCCACAGCTTCACTTCTAATCCTATTTTTATCTTTTTTTTTTTAAAGCCAATGAAACTACTCAGGAGGCTGAGATTTGAGGAAGCCAGACTAAGTAGGAAACTCTCTGAAACTCTTATCTTCAATTAACCATCAAAGAGCTAAACTGGAGCTGTGGAAGAAGAAATAGAGCACTAATCTTGAGCAAAACCTCAGGGACAATGCTCAGGTTTTCAAGCCCAAAACAGGAACATGCATACAAGTACAAACACATACAAACACATTCAAACACACACACACACACACACTCTGAACGGGTACTACCAGATGTGCTCTTTGGATACATTTTCCCTTAATTTCACCAATACAACTTCAGTGTGTGTGTGTGTGTGTGTGTGTGTGTGTGTTAATTTCACCAATACAACTTCAGTGTGTGTGTGTGTGTGTGTGTGTGTGTGTGTTACTAGCATTTGAACTAAGGCACTCATACTTGGTTTTGTTTGTTTGTTTGTTTGTTTTTTTGGGGTCCGGTCATGGGGCCTGAACTCTGGGCCTGGGCACTGTCCCTCAGCTCTTCAGCTCAAGGCTAGCACTCTACCACTTGAGCCACAGCGCCACTTCCAGGTTTTTTCTTTTTGCTTATGTGGTGCTGAGGAATCGAACTCAGGGCCTCAGGCATGCAAGGCAAGCGCTCTACCACTGAGCCACCTTCCCAGCCCATGCACTCATACTTGGTAGGCAGGCATTATGCCAGTTATGCAATGTCCTTAGTCTGTTTTACTTTAGGAATTTTGCAGACTTCACATTTTTTTCCCTGAACTGGTATGGGCAATAATCTTCCTATATAGGCATTTTTTTATACCTGAGATGAGAGGTTTGTGCACCACATCCAGACTTTTTGTTAAGATGGAGTTCTTGCTTAGTTTTTGCCTTGGCTGGCTTCAAACCACAATCATCCTAATCTCTACTTGAATTATTATATATATATATAAGCCACTCAAAAAATTCTTTGTTTTCAAGAACAATTACAGCATTTCTTTTGTTCTTACTTCTTGTTTTGGTGGTGTTAAGGATGGAAAAAAGGGTCTTCAACACATCAAATAAGCACTGCACCAATGAGATACACCCCAAGCAATACCTTTCATAACTTTCATACCTTAAATCTTTTTTGTTCCAATGTGCAAGGTAATATGATATTCTGATGATACTCATATTTTGTATTCCACTTTTCCTAGGCAGTTGTTAGCACAGATTTGTTTGAAGTGAACAATAAGCCATTTTTCAAATTTTGAGTAACAGAATTGCTTTCATAAATTCAAGCAAAAAATTTAATATAATTTCTTAGCAAAACAATACTCCAACTACTTTGTAATGAAAAGGCCAGCTGTATGGACATCTATTGTAATCGTATTAATTTAGTATGTTTTCAAAATGGCAGTGAGTATAAAGGTTTTAAACTTGGGAGATAACTCATTGAAATATGAAAGTAACATTCTTTTATGCTTTAACAAGGTGATTATTCAGTGATATGGAGATGATGACTATTTTAAAGAAAAGTCCATTCATACGCATAGAAAATTATTACCATTCACATTTTAATGTTTTGTGTAAAATTCATATGAACTTATGAAGCTAATGCATGTAATTATAATAATGAAGATTTTCACAGAATCCTCAGAAAGTTAAATAATTTATTCACTTTTATAATTAGATGAACTCAAAACACCTTATTCCAGGCAGGATCATTCGTATGTAAGTTCATGTGTCAAATACTTCTGCATTTACTTTCACCTCACTGCAGATGCTTTGCCTCTGGATACAAAGGTATCTACATTTTCTTAGGTTTGAAATAAAGACCTTGAATTTCTTACTACCATCTGATCTACACCTCCTTTTTGCTTTCATTATCTTTTGAATATGTTTTCACATTTTGCTCCAAACAGTTGGGGACTGTGATCTTCTTACTTAATCACCTTGTATAGCTTGATTACTGGTGTATGCCATTCCACCAAGGATTTTATTGATTAAAATGAGGTCTTTTGAGATTTTTGCCTGGGTTGGCTTTAACATTGATCCTCCCTATTCCTCCTGTAACTAGGATTGTAGGTACAAGCTACATACCCAGCATTCCTTATCAAATTTTGAAAATCAGTTTTAATATCCACTGATATTTCTTGGATGAACTAATCAGAAAGGTTGTTTATTGGTTGAGTTAGAATCTTACAGGATGGAATCAAACCACAATCTTCTGTATCATAGCTTACTGCGTAGCTAGGATTAAAGACATGAGCAATCACAGCTAGCTCAGAGTCATAGTATTTTATGTCGGTATTTATTTTCAGTCACCTGGGAAAATCTCAAAAATGCCCAGTTTTGGGTGACCATATTAACGTCATCAACCTCTTCTAATCTTCCATACTGCCTTTGGGATGACTAAAAACCAAAATACAAATTTGATCTTATTCTTTTCCTTGAGACTGTACAGCTAACTCTCATCTACCATGTTATCTGCCTTTCCTGTCATACCTATTACTCTCACATAAGAAGGATAAACTCCAGGCAAAGAAAAATTGTCTCTAGATTTTATAATACTCTTTCCCATGTTATTTGTCCCAGTACCTGCCATTCCTTCTCTCTCTGTACTGTCATTCTACTGTAGAGCCAGGTATGAATTAGTTCTTTAAAATTGGTTCAGATATTTCTTTTTTTTTCATATCTTTCTTTTTTGTGAACATAGCTTTCTCCTGTTAGTATACTACTGTGACCTCCATCCTGGTGATGGTTATTATATGATGATATTCTAGTTTCACATGTCTTTTCAGAACTTGTTGAGGGTAGGAGTTTTGCTCAGTTAACTTTCACATCATTGTGATTAGATGTGCTTGAAAAATGTATGTGTTCCCATAATTACTGAAAAAATAAGGGACACCATATTACATGAGGTTGCTTGAACTTTCTAAAAATGGTTTATCTACTACATCTTTAAATGGAAAAATCTTGAGAAAAAAGAGTAAGTTGTAGAGAAATATTTCTGACTAAAAATAAGTTTGACTCATTACAGTGACTACCCTCACATAGCTATTTGAAAGCTGTTAATTTCGTGAACTATCTGAAAATGTATATAATCAGTGTAAGAAAGTGATTAGGCATTAATAAACACAAGAGAATTCTACAAATGACCAAGAAAAAAATGCCAATTCAAGTTCTGAGCCATTTAAAATTCAGTCATGTTTTTACATAATAGCTCACACAGATTATAATAGTACCAATGGGATACACAAAACTTCTGAACTCTTAAACAGTTTAAGTCTAAATGAAGTGGTATATTCCAATAAGGAGCCAAAGTCTCAGTGTCCTGCCTGTAAGGCAGCTGGTTGCATGATTTAGAATTATTCGGTCACCAAGATGGGTACACAGGGATAGTTAGAAGGAGCAGTGAGCAACTAGCAATCTGCTTTCATTCTTAAAACAAAAATTCAATTTTTTTCAATCGGTGTTACATTAGCTTCAATAAATTATGAGCTTCTTCTGTCATGCATACTTAGAAAATTTAAGAACCAGAACACAAAAGGCCATTTTCATAGTTTCACTAACCATTCATAAATCCTATGAAGAACAGTAAAACTAGATGAAGGATTGGAAATACTTTGTAGATTAAAAAAATCATCATTGTATTATTCAATTAGGTAAGAGGGTTATAGAAAAAGAAATGAAGCTGGGTAATGGTGACTCATGCCTGTAACTTTAGCTACTCAGGAGGCTGATATCTGAGGATTACAGTTCAAAGCCAGCCTGGGCAGGAAAAGTCCATGAGACTCTTATCTTCTATTAATCACAGAAAAAGTTGGAAGTGGTGCTACTGCTCAACTGGTAGAGTGCTAGCTTTGAGCAAAAGGAGCTTAGGGACAGTGCTCAAGCCCAGAGTTCAAGGCCCAGGATAGGAAAAGAAAAGAAAAACAATTGATTCATTACATGCATATAAAGAGATTATTATTAGTAATTCACTATGAAGAACCATGCTTCAGAGTTGGAATGAGAATGAAATAATCACTAGAAAAAAAACTTAATCTACAAAGCCAAAACTTTCTCATGCTCTCACATCGCAAAGAGTAACTCATACAATAACGTTTAGTATGTTTAATAAAATAAAAACGAGAAAGTAGAGCTGTGGCTCAAAGTGGCAAAGTGCTAGCCTTGATCAAAAGAGCTCAGAAAGAGTATGCAGGTCCTTGGTTCAAGGCCTACAACTGACAAACAAACAAACAAACAAACAAACCAAACAAAACAAAAAGCCAACCAAAAACCCCCACCAAAACCACCCCCACAACTAACAGATGCTGCAACATCACCCACAAGAATGAATGATTTCTGTAATGTTTTCAGGGTGCTTTTACTTGGAGGTCTTTGATCCATTTGGAGTTGATTCTGATGCAGGATGATATATAAGGATCTAGGTTTAGTTTTCTACAGGTGTTTAACCAATTTTGCCAGTACCATTTACTGAAGACTTTCTTCCATTATATTTTTTTGGGTCCCTTATCGAAGATTAGGTGGCTTTATTTCTGGGTCTTTGGTTCTATTCTTCAGGTCTATAGTTCTGACAGTACCAAGCTGTTTTGATTACTATGGCTTTGTAGTAGAGTTTGAAGTTTGATGTTATTATTCTTCCAGAACTGTTCTTTCTGCTAAGGATTGTTTTTTGCTATTCAGGGACTTTTATTGTTCTATATGAATTTTTGTGCTGCTTCTTCTATTTCCTTAAAGAATGAGATTGGG